GTGCCTTTCGTAAAATATTCAAACAATGACGAAGTTTCATAACGTATTCGGATTTATTAACAAAAACGCCAACAATTCACAATTAGGGTGAAATAGAGATATAAGAAAGTAGAAACAAAATACATTAAAATCACAAGTAACATACAAGTCAGTTAAAATCTCACACATTACACTGACAAATGAACTTTAAGACAATATACACATATATCATTTATGATTATGTCTAAAACGTCCTTAGAAGAACCTGTTATTTCTAACATTGGATTGACACTCCGAGCTCCTTGGTAGGTATACTAATAATCTTACACATTATGGATTGGATAATCATATATGTGACATCACGTAGGACCCTAGGAGATTTGAGATTAATGACGGTTTCACTACAAATTGTAATAATAACAATAACTATTGTTATGGTCTGATTAATATCATCACATCAAAATGCAATTCGATAATGTGTTCTTATAGTCAATATGTGAATTATCGCACATAACAAAGTCAACATCTAAATTCTGTAATTGCGATGGTGTCCTAACAATCAATCATTTCTGACAAAAATGTTCCCTGTGGCACGCTTTCAAAGCAATCACTGTAATGATTAGGTTTCTAAATCCGAGAATAAACATTTAATGTGAAAATAGAATATTTATTGGATCGACATCATTGAATTGTTATATAGGGAGGAATGCCATCATAACGTGTTATTCGAAGAGTATAATTGTAACATTACATATAACAATGCAAGGAATACGTGTTTATATCACAGACATCGAAATACTTGTCATGGTGCATAAATATAATAACAGATAATATTAACTATTTGGAATCATATAAAATTAAAATGCCTTTAAACCTGAAAACCGTTAGGTCAACGACCAAGCTGGTTGCATATCGCCTTTCACGTCAGACTTATGGACGCGTTCTCTACGTTTTGACACAAGCTCGTAACTGAACCCTGATGACAACCCTACTGAAATCTCAGTCATTTTGAAGCTACAACGAAATCTCACTTAAAGACTATTGTTCCTTTCTACAAACACCACTTGATTTCGGTCCGCACCTCCTCCCCACCAAAACAAAAAAGAAAATCTGTATGGTAATTTATTGTGTACTTCACTATGAAAAGTACGTCATCGTGAAGACCTTCCCACTATTTCAACTACTCGCAATTAGATCTAATCTTAAAGCACAAAACACCAATCAGACAGCTGACTTATCACCTATTAACCCGGAGTATATCATCTTGTACATTCGTCAGCGACCAGATCAGTCAGCTATGTTAGGGTGTCAAGATACAATAGCAGGTAGACACTAATTTAATGACATATTGACAGAAATGGCCATAAAGAGATTCCTGTATGCATGGATATACACACAACACCTATTACCTCCCTATTAAGACCACATGTGTTCGGTACCAAAGGAGGTCTTAACAGTGAAGTTTCACTGCATTCATATGAGGGGCCATTCCAGAAGCCTGTGAGTGATCAAAACCTACACATGGCGGTGTTGATGATGACGTAACAGACGTTTATCCGTCCGAAACACCTGGTTCTTCTTCTTGTACTCTTTAGTTGTCTCCTTATAAATCATGCTTATGCTCATATTTTGCCCTAGATTCATCAAATTGATGTTTGAAGTACGAATCTGATGACAGTCCAATCATTTGTTTACACTGGGATTGACACATTTATAAACGTAATAAGGTCTTTTACGGATATGTTTTATAACTTTTGTAGTGTGCTCTAACGAGAAGGCTTCCAGTATGCATTTTATTTTAGCTTGTCATGTTATCAATAATTTACAATGCGAGGAAACAATCACACCACTTGTACATGTTTTATGACATAGAAACAGTTTACAATGCAAACATGAAACATAGAATTCATCTGCAATATTGGTTTTGACAGTAATATACGTGTCATTATAAAATGAAATTCATAAATATAATGTATATTTGTTTTTATGTAAAATGATTATATTTTCATCTTCTTACATAGTTGAGTGTCTATATATTTTTGTGTTCCTGTGGCGAGCATTGATATCCGCAAAATTCCTGTATTGGAGAACGTCTTGTTTATATCTTTGTAAGTTAACGTTATAAAATGTATGTTCAAAATCTAAACTCGTCAGAATCCTTCTGGAATCAATATCACTAAAATTGAAAAAAAGTGTTAATTATGGAACTTCTTTAAACCGTTGCGATCAGATCGACGAGTCAAACAATACGTTTAGAGACACTTCCTGACAGGTTCATGTTTGTTCACATTCAATAAAAAGGTACTGTAAACATTGTTTAGTTATAGTTACAAGATTGATTTTCAAACAACATATGAAAGTCTGTAATTTGGAAATAAAATACCAATATGAATTTATTTTCCATCATGTCTTATAACTTATGTTATCTAATCAATTATTGCCTCACTTGTTATATTGAACCCATTTTCCACCTTGAATAAGGGCAATGCCACTCATTTAAATCATTGATGGATACCTAATTATATTAGCAATGTTTGGTGAGGAAACGTTACATTGCACATCAAGTAATTTTTATAAAGTCGTCTTTTGGCTTTCTGTCACATCTTGGTTTCATCCGTACATCAAACCTCGTTTATCCGCTTGGTATTCTTTGCTTTCTTTGTTGCTTATCATATTTATGCTCTAAATGATCATATTTTGCATACTTGTTAATAGGGATAAAGTATAGTTGGCAAGTAATGAATTTAAAAATTGCGCATGATAAAATAGAAAGTCTTATCTTACAACACGTACGAAATATATATGTGAAGTTTCAATGACTATACTGTCTCGTTCATCGGAGGAGGAACCAATTTGGAGCGTAATTACGCCTGGGTACAGTGTAAAAGATGGTAATGAATAGACAGGACATTTTGATCCTGTATATAACAACCTGTAAAACAGTGAGACGATTATTGTAAAAACATGGATGATCTTTCATTAGTTGGTATCAGGTGTAGTCATCAACACGTCAGATACAAAATTTTACTGGATATGATGTAAGAATTGCTATTTTAACAACCTGCGGAAAATGTGTCATTTTATAATCACACAAGAGCTCTTAAAACATAGAAATTAAGTAATTTAAAGAATGAAATGAAACACATTTAACACACCAGTATATAACCCATGGTGACATCAATGATATAACTGTTAAAACATACTTTGACACCAGCTATTTGTGTCATTGTATTTCTATCTTGATGTCATGTTCGAAATGACCATCAGTCGAAATCACAACAAATATCAAAACACTTGTATATATTCAATACAGATAGTAGACTAGAAAGTTCCGCATAATAATTGATATATTTCCGTGATGACGTGTCAATATGGTCTATTACTGACTAGGATTTCAAACACAAAAAAAGTTCAAATACAAAAACCACAAACGACACGACACAAAATATAACATGGCAAGTTATTAAATTAGTATTTCGAAAACAGATCTAACTTGTTATTTTGTAGTTCTGAATTGCGTAAATTTTTAAAGCTTATCACAATCGTTAATTTTCCTTGTCACGTTTTCCAAACCAACTGAATATATCTTTTTTTATCTTTTCTTTTTATTTTAGTGCCTTTTTATTGATTTAAGGAACATGATGTCAGAGGAAATTAATCCCAGTTAATCCCTATTTAATCAAAGCTTTGTTAGATTTTCTTTAAAGTAAATAAAACGCGAATTAATGAATTCGCATAAAGTCATCCATGTTTTAATCTCATCATGCTATGAACAATTGAATATTGCTCTACTATCATACACATTTACGATATACAAAGAATTGACAAATATCACAAGGTCAGTTATCACGTAGTGCAAACAAATTCAACTATAGAATATATCTATTTACTGTATACATTTAACAGGTCGTATGAAATACAAATGTAGCACTTGTAATAACAAAGGTACAAAAATACAATGTTTCACGGGAAACAGTATGTTGTGTATTAGAATGAAAAAGGTCAAAATATACAACTATAACATCGTTATATACAAACGGAAAAATAAACCAATCGACTGCATTAAACATAAACGTATTTACTGTCAACATACTATAATTCCATGTTCTTTGCTGACTCGAATGATTTTCACCAATTCGAATCTTTTAAAACAAGCATACTAGGTGCTGACTGATGGTGCTCATGTTCAGTTCATGCGTGCTTTGTTTCCGCAAAGTATAAAAAGTTTAAATATTCATGGCTTTATTTCACGAAGCAAAATTATTTTCCTACCAAACCTTCGTATACAAAATATCTGGACTTCATTTTCCAACGAAGGATGCGCCATTATACGTGCATTAATCAATAACTATGATAGTAAAACGACTGATAGAAGAATGTTACTTAGCATTAAAAAGATCTACCATGTCATGCTGAAAACAATTTAATTAGGTAGATGTGGGTAATTTTAAAGATACAGTATTTTAAAATATAATCAATTTCACCATATTTACGTTGCAGTTACCACGTATAACAACATGTATGGTATAAAAATAAATGGTGCTGTTGTTATAGATAATGTCAGTTGGTAAATCATTACAACGTGTAATAAGACATCAACAGATATATACTTTTTTTTTTTAAGTGAATGAACTAATAAATATAAGATATTACTCGTGTTAGGTAAGTAATTTACAAAACAAACGTACAGGAAACGTTAAAACGTTGTAATTTTATCCTACAACCTGTCATCAACATGTCTGTTCATCAGAAATAAGTTGTTTGATTGGCCACTAACTTTTCAGAATGTTTGTAAGTATTCAGAATGTATATGTTATCCGAAAGGCTATACCAGACATCTGTACAAGCAGAATGCAATTTTGTGTTTTGTTTTGTTTTGTTTTTTGTTTTTTTGCATTAAAAAAACTCGCTTCGTGTAATGCAACAGTACATTTTACATCTTAACAAAAGTATTCTTGAGATCCTAATCGTTCCAATTATCACATTTCAAATTCCATTCCATCCTACATCATTTAATGACGTCATACGTTTGCAACAGGTGTGATTCCGTCCTTTGAAGTTGCTGTTGAATTAATTTGATTGTTACCTGTCATACAAATATCACAATTCACCCGTATCTTGTTTGCCTGTGATGACCCACTTTTACCTTTCTGGTTGTCATTACTATCATAGGCCTGTGAATCACGTTTCGGCGATGACTTTGGCTGGTCACAACACGCACATTGTAATTCAGTGACAGTAATGTTATTTGTTTCCGCTTTCGATGTTGTAGACGAGGACTGTTCGGGTGTGCTGCTCTCTGCTGTTGCGTTTGAATTCTGTAAGTTTTGGAGCTTCTGCGCCTTTAACACAGATTCAAGGCTACAAGGAAAAAATACACATTGGTGTAAAATATACAGATTTCATAAAATATGCAGATTGTGTAAACATATATAGGTTTCGTAAAATATACAGATTGTGTAAAATATATAGATTTTGTAAAATATACAGATTGTGTAAAAATATACTGATTTCGTAAAATATACAGTTATTTGTATTAAAATGGCCCTTCATGTATTCCTTTATCTGTATATTTTGTGGTGAGTGATGTACTGCTGTTTATCCTGCATTTGTATTAAATAACATTGCTATTCAAATATAGTATCATCGTTTACTAAAATACCATAAAATATACTAAAACGAGAAATGAGATAGTACACGCTATTCGTGAAAGTGCTGAAATTGGTCCGTTTCCCCTCTTGAAACATCCAGACATAAGTATTCGGCGCAAAGATATTTACCGGTAATTGGTGATGTACATCTAATTATTTGCTATAGAAATACATCAATGCGGATCAATGCTCGTTGAGATAAGCAAAGAATTTACCAACATTAACACTAAACGGTTCGCTTGAACTATTTAAATACACAGCCGATGCTCTCTTCCAGACTGGCACACACACACGCACGCACGCACGCACGCACGCACACACGCACACACGCACACACACACACACACACACAATATAGGAACACCAAAAGTATATGGCATGATTTATTGATTATTGTTACACGAATATGTAACACAGAAAACCAACAATATTCTAGATAAGAATAACTATGTACTTAATGTACACCAGTAAATAATACATACATGTAGGTATCTTAACCAAACGACATGACTGAATCACTGCAACAATTTGTACAGGTTAACTTTTAAACAAAACATATGTATACTAAGCTTATTATTTGTAACAAACAACTCAATATGGTGGTACTAGGATGGTATATGTATCAGGACCCGCCGTTAGTCTTGGTCCCATATGTGTTATAAACAGTGTTATGATACTTTAACCTTTAGTGATCAAACCCGAGAGGTATGCTTGTTACAGGGAATTGCCACTTGAGTCTCCATAAATACCCAAAGATGGCTTTTTATAGTTCTTTGAGTGTGAAAAATGACGAGAGCATGAAAGGAAACTTTCACAGGAACATTGATACGATTTTGACGTTTGTGTGCAATTTGCATTCACTTAACCCAAAGAAAGGTGAAAAAATATCCATATAGCCAGAAAGATTAGGTTTTGGAAAATGATTACAGCTCGATTCCAAATTAATAGTTTTATAAATACTAAGAAATTAAGAAGTTATATTATATATATGTTTAATTTCCAAAATTTAAGAAAGTAATTCAGATGAGAAACTTCCGACCTCTATTTACGTACTTGTTACGAGCTTTATACAGGTTTAAAAAGATTTATAGAAAAGACGTGTTAATCCTATCAGGTATTGTTAGCCATATTGAATGCATAAAAATGTTAAGAAGGAAAAGAACGTCAGTATATTAAGATAATATACCAAATCAACCAAGTGACGGACAAAAGGAAAGAATATTACACAGCATTATTTTATAGGTAGGAACGAGAAAGACTACACTATGAAGGTGATTAGATTAACAAAAGCATCTTCTGAAGTGGACAAAGGCAGAGGAGGAATGACGTGCTATCAAAAGAGAATTCTATCTTTGAAAGCGAGAGTATCTGACTAGCTTCACATTTAGACATGTTCGTTCTGCCTATGAACTTTGTGCCAGTTAGAATGAGATCAAGTTCAAGTAGCACCAGGATCAGGCCACGTTTTAATTTCACATTCAAGGACACATCGAAAGGTTTTCTAGAAATGATTGTTATCCGTTTTAAGATCTGAATCGAGGGAAGTCTCGGTAATGAAGAAGGTGTCAGTTGCCCCCTTCATCGGGGACATGGCATGCTGCATATTTGCAAACATTGTGAATCACTCCGCTCTAACTAACCTTTTGATTCCTACTGACATTTTGGCGATATTTCGCTTTGGGGTTTTGCGTTGTATGCTCGCACGTACAGTGAAATTCATTCTCTGGCCATGGCAAATTTTAGTTGTTAAAGTATAGAGTTATTGATTTCTTCCAAACGTTCAGCTTTTCATTGTTGAAACAGTAATCGGTATAATGTGACAAAGAGGTTTGTTATGTTACCAGTTTTGCTTCTCGATGTAATACCTCAAAAAAATTATGGCAAAACGTAGAACCGAAACTAACAGTCTATACTGATAGGTATAAATTGTTATGAGGTTTTCGGGGATCTGTTTGAAGTAGGCATGGTTTTTTCCCTATTTTTCTTCTTTTTAAAACACCATGGAACATTAGCACGTAGGAGCAGACATGAGTAGTTATATCTTAAGTGGCAGAGTATCTGATGATTATACCAATAATATAGACATGAAAGACATCGCACATCAGAAAGACTTGAAGTAAATATGAGGTGTGTGTTGAGGTATACATAGTGACATATGGGGAGTGGAAAGTATCACCGTAGAAGGGAACACATATGACGGTAACGTGACATATTATTTTTTTATTTAAAAGTAGCCCCATTTGGAAAAAATTACTATTAGCCACCAGCTGTGAAATACAATAGTTACATGTTTTATACATATGTGTGTGTGTGTGTCATTTTGGCGATTACTCAACACCTGAAAATCATTCGGTTATCATAATGCTAATATTGTTATTATTAAAAAATATAATCTTCAACTCAATAAGAAAAATCGTTTACGCTAGTAAATAAAAACATAGTCATAATCTTTATTTTGTATCGGTAGTGCTTCATATAGAAAAAAAATCTATCAAAATCAAAGGGTTCGCGTCAACGCTATGAAGAAACGCTTCGACAAAGGGACCAGATTAAGAATGACTCGTGTACTAATAATGACAATCCATTAGGTAACCGCCAAAATGAGTATACACGAGAATGTACAGCAGGGCGATAGAGAAGAGTGCGAAGGAATAGGTGTGCATTATTGTTACTCTACTTACCCATGATTGCTTTCACTGTTATTCAAAAAAATCATATCAAACTAAATAATATAATCAGCAGATATTTCCTCAGATGTTAACACACAACATTGGAAATGCTGGCGTTCATCAGACAGCAATGCTTCATTCAACACTATTGACTATGAATAATTCAAGTTTTTTACTTGAACGATTGGTCGTTTATCAACGTAACTGGAATGTATTCGGTAATTTTTCTATCCAATGTAATGAAAATGCAAACTTGGGTATTTAAATTGTTATTGATGTAATTTAAACAGCTGCCAATACGATAGATAGTTGATAATGGGCGCACTTACTCGTTCATCGGTGGCGGCTCTGGCAGTGGTTTGGAGAATCCATCTTTGCCTACAAGCCAATACGTCTTTGCCAGTCCTTTGCCCTGTACAAAAGTAATATATATAGCAATTAAGAAGAAGAAGAAGAAAAAGAAGAAGAAGAAGAATGAAAAAGAACGTTATTGATAAGACGCGTTTCAATCTTTGATATTTTGATATCTGATGTCTTGGTAATTTTGTATTCAATAGGTTAACGTGATCTTATCTGTCGATCAATTGGAAATGACTTATGAGTGGATGTTTTCTTTTCATCAAGTTGGTATGACAAGTCGTTAAGCATACTGAAGAAATTGTGATTCACTTTTTACCCTCCACTACACTGAAGGTAAAATGCAAGTATATGACCTACTTTCCCCTCACATAGCCTTAAACACGACTTAAGGCTGATAATTATTTCTTGTCTTCCTGTCCCTTGACACTGCCTCATTTTTAGTCGTCAAACAATGTGCTGAATTAAACAACTTTGAATGCTTGGGGTTTTCCCTGCAGGCCAAGTTATGCCGAAATCAGTAAAATTACAACCTTAAACGTCTTGCTGTATACATGCTATAGTACCCTTGACACATTGCACATTGCATTTCTGTGAAATTACATTATAAAATGACCATTTGGCTTGCCCTAATCATAATGTGTGGCTCATCAGAAAGTCGTACTTGCTCTGAACGGCCTATTTTTTGAGCATCCACTCAGATATAACCTCATCTTAATGCGATAATTTGAGTATGTGTTAAAAATGTACAATCTTTATGTGTCTTGCTTTGATTTTAGAAAGTGTTTATCAATATTGTCAAAACGAGATTTCCAATTGATTAAATGAGGTGCTGTCTTAAGATAAGCTGGTATCTACCTTTAGTTCCACCTCTCCTCGATACTCTAATTGATATCCTCCGAGGTCGTCCAGTACCTTTTTGGTCGGCAGACTAATGTGTATTCGGAAAGCTGCAAAAACAAAATGGAGAGTCAAAAATAAATACTTCTCATCCGCACATAGTTCAGAACAAAGGGTGAAATCGTTGCATCGTACGGAAGATTACTTTGGAATGAATGAGACTTTCAATTTCAAAATTGTTGTAAGCGACCCTCAAAGTCTATCGAACTAGCAATATGGAATGACGACTATGACTAACATTTCAAAATCTTGTCAAGAACCAAACAGTTTTAGGTATGTAAGGTCAGATCAAAGTGGTCACTGTTTATGGGATGGCTTCATTCCTTAAGGACGATGAATCAAACCTTAGAACCTTAGATATCAATACATCAAAGAAGTGAAAGACGTGTTAACGAAAGTCAACAGAGACATTTAAAATGCGGATGCAGTACTATCGAAAATCAAATGAAATACACCATGATTTAAAAAAAATGAAATAAAATTCTTTAAATATAATAGGTTGGTATGAATATCTAACTCCTCTTCTATTGGACTTACTGACTTATTAGAAGATGCATCTGTAATTTTTGAAAAAAAAACTTTTCTACAGACGATTTTATATGTCAAAATGTGTTTGCGTTAAAGGTAACTGACGTGTTCCAGATCTACGTCGTCTCTAATTTAAGGTGTTGATTTATTTTAGCATTGTAAACTTCATTCTACTGATGAAACAATCGATATAAAATGGCTGCTGTCTTGTTGTTATCTGATCTGTCGTAGTGGGAGATAACGTGGCAGTCACGCACTCTCATAGCCACAGGCTGAGCTGACCCTTTTACTCAATTATATACGTTTACTTAATAGCGATATTCGTCAGGCAAAAACACTATTGAAGATATACTAACAGATGCGTACCTGGCATGTAATATCTTAGAGCGTTTTAGGGGGAAGATGAAATTAGATTTGTAAAGAAATTTTATCAGGCTGTTTTAAAAATACAACAAAGATAACAACATATCAATATCATCATAACAAAAACTTAAATTCCTTAGAAATAGAGCAAAACTTAAAAAAAAAAAAAAAAAAAAACGGAGACTCCTGCAAAAATAAAATAAAATAATAAAATCAATTTTTCCCATGACGTAACGCCATTGTCAATATTATGACATTGATTTATAACTGTCATTAAAATGCTCCATAATATTCTACACTAGTGATATATAGAACAATATTAGATAAATGATGATTATGTGTCAAACGCTAACACATGTATGACACTAATACAAGTTGTATGCAATTTACAAAAGGGAAATACGCATTAGAAATATCGTCTTAAATACGTTGTCTTATAACTGAAGGGGCTATGTAACTTTTCAAATCGTACCAACGTACATAATTTTCAATCAATATCATCAAGAAATAAAGAGGTTATAGTTATCCGGAAGGTGGCTCGTGCAAAAGGAAAATATAATAATCAGACCTTTGTCCTTATATATTAACCAAAAATTGACACACACACAAACACTCACACGCACATGCACGCACGCACGCACACACAAACACACAAAATGTGGAAGGCGGTATCACGATAATATAAGTCTAGACCTACTAAATCACAATGAGTGACCTCCGGTGAAATCGGAATTTTTATGCGTCTCCCTCTAAAGAGGCAAGAAAAAGACTAAAACGGATGTGTTGTCGTCATAGAAACATTTCAGACCTTCACGTTTTATTCTTCATTATCTGCCCTTTTTTTCGCGATGTCTCGAAAGTTGTGTACATATATCCTACTGAGTATTTCAAGCCTTTAGGATACAAATATAGCGTCTGTTTTATATATAAGGGAGATATTACGTCAGTTAATTGTACCAGCTAGGCAATGCTAATGAAATATTACTGGCGTCATCGTAATTAAATTTCCATTTTTCACAGACTATTGTCTCTACCATGATATTGTTCACTACAGAAGAGTCTGTTATACTGACAATATCTGTACCTTCACATGGGATCTGATCACACACTCACAAAACTACAGAGAACTGAAATTTGAACTGAAAATGAGACCATGACAAAGAGTTAATATTACATAGGGTTCAAACAGCATTTTAATTGCTCTTAAGTTAACAGCGATATATAATCGTTTCAACGAAACATAGATCAAATCGCATACAGAAATCCAGCACTCTTGTGTTATCGATGCTAACTACCTATATATTGTTATAAGGCATTATAATATTCCATTAATCATATAAAAAACGTAATGATATTTAAATATGTAACAATAAATCGCTATTGACCTACATACTGTCTTGACATGAAGAACAATTGGCTTTATTTAACATAGTACAAACAAATAGCACACTGCAACACAAATTTACTGCATTCAATATGTACTGTATTATTCCCATGACTCAGCCCTTCAGGCGCCCGTAGTGAAAGGAGCCAAAACTAGGAAAATAGGAAAAAACAAAAATAGAAAAATTATATTTGAACTGAAGGTTTAAGGAGTGTTTCACTTAATTCATTCTTTAATTTGAGTTAATATCGGTTAACCTACAAGGTAAAAACACGCGAAATTCATTTGTTGACTCTAAACCGTTCTGTACCAATATCCATAATATTTTCATCATGGCTTGCAGGGTTACTGGCTGGAAGAGTTGACACAAAATTTAGCACAGAAGTTGTAAGGTATAAGATAGAATAGATAACATATCGCCATGAAAGATCAATACAAACAAATTGTTGACCAGTGCAGGAGGAAGGCGTACACATAAACAAAAAAAAATCATTGAACCTGTTTTCTTTATGGATTGACTTGTTTTCTGTAGGGGTTTCAATTATGGACAGAAATTTGCGTCATGGTATCATTTATACTTGTCACGCATATGTCACTTGACCCTTTTTTATTTGAATTATGTAATCAACAAATCCAGGACTACATTAATTGGATACATCAAATAACTTGAAATGCAAATTCCTAAATTGATATTGTTTTTCAAATCATATGCCTATTTAGCCTTATATTTCTGTATGTTCATATTTAGTTCTTAACGTCACTGACGAGCGCTAAAAGAACGAAACATATAGAGGAAGGGAATTCACTGGTTGACATTGTTGTAAATCCCCAAAGATCGAAATTTAAATTTTAAAAGATATTTAGAGGTTAGAAAAATGTAAAATAAACATCAGATTTTATCTGATCAACTCACTTAAGTTTGTATTCGGACTATGTTCAAAGCATTTCTATTCACTGCTGCAGATCAAACTATTATTAAATAACTGTTCTTGTTGATATTTAATATGATCCTCTTTGACGGGATGAGTTATTTCTATTCAAACGGCATTTTTTTTCTATCAACTACATTAGGAGTGCATATTTTCTGTCGAGCCATGTTGTAGTTTAGATATAATACAATTTTCGTTATTCATTTAATCGAAATCACCTTAAATGGTAATTTGCAAATCCAAACTGTTTTCAGGGATTCGATCAACAGTCTAAACTGTCTAGAGACATTCACTGGTATATTGTATAAAGCGATCTAGCTGTAGGCGCCACTGTCTGTCAACATGATCCCAGGAGGTGAACTGTTCACTTACCACTTCCAGTGGACTCCATCCGTGAGGCTGTGTTAACGGTATCTCCAAATAAACAGTACCGGGGCATAGTCAAACCTACCACTCCAGCAACACAAGAACCTGACAAAGTATAAACAAACAAGATAGTAAAACATTTAACGAACAAATGATAAAGTAAAGCAAATTTGAAAGACACTGAATTAATGCAGAACGATGATTTGAATAGCCTGAAATTATACGGAAAGAAGGCTGGATAATACCTATTCATATGTAAGCCGAAATAGTTTTTTCACATGTATAAAAACAGATATATACATATATCAAAAACCGACTTGCATCGAGCTGGGTAATGGTTTAAGCTATCTTACTACAGATCGGGAAGAATATCCTAAAACAACGGTATATTGTTTTAGTTAATTGTTTTCATCATACAGTCATACGCATTTCCTATTTTGGTTAACATTATCATAAGTATCTACGAATATGGAAAATGACGCAAATACACGAAAAAACTGTAGTCTCCAAATACATCAAACTAAACACAGTTCGCAACGTGACATATATTGCTGGCGTGTTTGTGCAGAAATTAGAGTCCTAGAAAATGACAGTAGTGTACATCATGAAGGGAAATCAAATCATTTGACGACCCAACAGCCATGACGTGAAGTCAAATACATTCAGTACCCATTGCGAGTGGACGAGTATTCCTCGTGTGTTGCAACTTTTCATGCGCGATTCAAATCAGGTCATGAAGAATGCCAATCTTATGTAGATGTATACATGTGACTCTCGAAAGGAGTTGGGGGGGGGGGGAACTTTGATATTTTAACATTACTAGAAATATTGCTTTACCATTGACCATTGGCAGTCATACATTGGTAATGATACATAACAACAAATTCTTACATACAAAATGCACGTCGATATATAACTGACATCTTTCTATTGAGAAATTTCGGGTAATTAAAAACAGCAGAGATAAGAAATTTTATTGTTAGCTTGTATATAGTCAGTTAGGTTACCACACGATTCTAAAAATGATTATCTCCAACATTAGTAATACAAGGTCTGTACGTTTCAGGAATGATAAACACATTCCTTTGTGGACAGATTGACTATACTTATACAAAATAACCCTTTATACAAGTAAGGCTGTCAATTATTACATGTGTAGGTAGCTTTATTGGATTTCTGATTCTAAAACCCTACAGATTAGCATCAGTCTGTTTGTGCATTCCAGCGTTTATATGTACGTTCAAAATGTAAGACATGTTCGATTTAAACGTATACACTATAGGGACAGACAGAGATAAATTTTACCGGAGGCAGACAATTTCTCTACAGAGAAAATCCACAAATGTATAAAGACAAACGGCGAGAAGCAGACGATACGTTTTAGTTTGTGTAATAGAGCTATATACATTCAATTCAAAAGATGTGTTTTGTCTGTCGTGATCTTCGTCCAGGGGCACTGAGACGATACAAAGACGTCATTACAATGTACGACCTCGTCACCTACAAACATAAACACTGTCAATGTCTCAAAAATAGTCGACATTAGTAAACAGATCGATGTATATCCACTGTACGAGGTGAAATGTCCATTTTCTCCAACGTTAGCTTTTCATATGTACCAAAGATGATTTGGTCACGTATAAAATACGTCAGAGCTTTGTCTAAGAATCACTTTTAAAGCAGAAGTTGACATTGTAAGTTGTTGTCGGTTTATCTTTCTATGTATTATACAGAATGTTGCTCTTTCACTAAATGCTTTAGGGCCTGATTTGGAACCGATTTCTATATTTTGCAAACTGGATGAATTTTTCCCCCCTATCCGTGAACTAAAAATTCACAACAATTAGGTTGTAGGCCACATAACATTGGCAATTACCGTCGACAATGCTTGGCTCGAGTGTTTGTACAACCTGATATTATATAATGTATTTGATAAGATCATGATAGGACAATGTTTAAAAATACACTATAAGAAAAGCAAAATGGCGAACACTGCAATATCATGCTGGATGACCTCTAAATAGGATGACCTCTAAATATCGAATATGTTATATGTTTGTACTATTTGTTTTAGTATCATAAAACGCTGGCGCACAAAAATCATCTAAAGAGTATAGATTCACAGATAAGCAATACTGTAGAGTAAAACGAAATCGAAGGGAAGTAAAGATGGAAAACTTATGCCATGTATCCATTCATTGTTTTGTTTTTTTAAATATGGAGAATCTAATTTGATATGTTCTTCGCTACTACATTGAGTTTTCTAAAATGAAGCCACATGAAGTAGATCCTTGATCAAGTAAAATGTTTCAAACCACATATCTTCTGCACTCAAATACTGATACACTGGGAAAGTGTAGCTGAACCGGATGCCAGTCACCACTTCCGCTGTCATTTATGACCTTAACTGTTGTTAGGGCAAAAACCCATGACAATAAAACAATTACACATCTTCAAGGAAAGAATATTATGCTACAAAGCACTTCATTCACCAGTATGTAGGCCGATTCTCAGTCTCAAAGGCACTTCGGGCATATGGCGTATCTTGAATGTCCCACATATGCTGAGGAGGTCGAGCGCCATGGTGCCGATTTCTCCAGCGTGTCTGTTCTCGTTTCGCACTGGAAGACCGCTCACTACCATGTACGCATCCCCTATTGTCTCGACCTAGCGATACGTTAAACAAATCGTATTATTGAAACCTTCTGATATGCATCTTATCTAAAACGTTTTCATTTAGTCTCGTTTATTAGAATAACGCGTTTTGTGGATTATTTTTCCTTTATTTTTAAGTTAGCTGCATATCTAATCTTCTCATAGACTTCAATATCATTTGGTCTCAATTTACGACAAGCAGAATATGTTAAGGTAAATGCTCAAATAGGTCTTAACATGTCTAGATATCAAAACATATACATTCATGTTTATATTCCTAATACATGTAATGGCATTCAAAATAAACAATTCAGTAGAAAACACTTTCAAATGTTATAAATATTTGAGATCAACACACAAGCACTTATCTAGCTACAGTACATGTTGAGTTGGTTTGTGAAGCATTTACATATACATGTTGCAATTTCACAATTTTTTGGTTCTTGTTTTCTTTTTTCAAACTGACATTTCAATATATTTTTCTTATTGAAATAAGATTACCTTGTACACATCGTAGTTGTCTATGCATGCATCAAACGCTGTGTAAAGGTCATTCAAAAGGTCAACCACTTGCATAGGAGTGCTCATAGCCGAAATTGTGGTGAAACCCACAACATCACTGAAATATATCGTTACCTCCTCGAATGTCTCGGCATTGATTTTTTGTCCACTCTTCAAACCGTCTGCGACCACTCTGTAGTAATAAAAGTCCATAACCACTCCTTTTACGACTTATAACAGCGGGTACTTATATATACATATATATTGAGCGATTGAATTTGTATCTAAAAATTAATTTATTGAGAGCAAGATCTATGGCAAAAGGACGGAACGAAAGGACCTATATGAAAAAGGCCTAAAAACTTCAGATGTAAATGGGTTACGGAATTATAGCAAATCCAATACTGAAAGATGAGTATAACATTTACAATATGAGCTGCGTTATTTTCTATATTTTAAAGCCTGCAATTGGAGCTCTCTGTTGCAGCTCTTCTCGTGATAAGCTGAAAGCAATATGTACAGTGCATAATCTTTACAGTTATATTTCCCTCTTGAATATCTAATCCTTCAGAAACCGTCAAATCTGCAAAATCACTGTCAAATACATGTAGGATAAAGGCGATAAATTCTTCTCAATGGTACGATCATCTGGTTCACAGATAAATAGTCAGGGAAATAGCATTACTTTGCGGCAAATATTTATTAACAAAGCAATATATCAACGAAAAAAAACTATAAATTGATCAACATTATCCATATTCTTCCAGCTTCATATCTTTTGCTTTTCACTTACATGATTAGAATAATTTCGTTACTGTATGGAACCAATGCATTTATCATGTTCAATAAAAGAACATCTGAAAAATATGTTTTATCCAGTTGTGAGATTTTGGCAAATAAATATGGCTGACGTTTTTTGAGGATTAAACTAGCTTTTGACATATTGAACTTTTTTGCGTTTTATACTAAACCCGTACCTGTTTATCATTCATGATACCAAGTAATTTACAAATAAGATGAGCCCAGACATCTTTGTTATAAGGTGTAGTAGCTGGATTTAACATCACCATGACACCAATTCAAAGTTTCGATTGGAAAACTGAGTAAACACGGACACATTTTGATTCAGTGTAAATAACGCTCTTCTCTTTTCTTTTTCAGAATTTCCGAAAATGACTTAAATGTTTGCTCAAAATTGCGCCATCGAAGGAAATATATAAGAAGACAGTGAATATAGGGAAAAAATAGGGTTACATATTTAGGGATATATTTACGCTGGCAACATCCGATTTAAAAGGACATCCGTCTTTTTTTTCTCTTCCTCTAACTGGACTGTTCTTTCTTTAACAATGTCCTCAAGGTCATTTGAATACTTCTCCAGCATCCTGAACATCGAATCCACTATGTTCATCTTCCTGCCAATCACACATGGAAATATATTCTTTAGTACAATACTTTTAGATACTCCACTTTCTTACAATCAATTTGGATAAATTTCGTGTATAAAATATAATATTCCTAATATAAACCATGCTTTCAAAATGGTTGCATTAATTATATTGGAAGACATCAATAACTGCATGTATAAAACAGTAAATTTAATATACATACAACGTAAGTATTCAGATAACTGTATACGCTGTAAACTACGGGATTTCTATTTGTACAAGCGACAATATTATTTTGTTGTATTGTAGTTATAAACGAAATTAAAAGTAATCCAATTGTAACATCAAAAACACATCCTTTTGCGAGCCAACGATCAAGCTTAATATAATAATCTGCATTCTTGATGAAGGAAACTGATGTTTTTAAAAGCTCGCAAAAATACAGATTTCCATTGTTGATTGTGATTAAGATAAATATCTTCTAAAAGCTCAATATCATTTTCAGAAGTGCAAATGTCATCGTATCATTTCCGTTACTTTTCAGATAAAATGAAATTATTTAATAACAACTAAATTCCCAAAGGAAAAACTTTAGACTTCGTATGATTTCATTTAGAGAATGTCCTTTGTTGAACGCCATTTGATCAAAACTACAGTAAGCCGTGCATTCACTTACTAATATTGTAATGAACAAATTTGATTATGTAAAGAAACGACATTACTACAAACATGGAAAATATGGAATGATTATTAAATAACACGATATTGCTACATTCCGTTTTGTAAATATTGATTTTTTTCTATCATTAAAGTAAATGCATTCGATATAAGTATAGAAAATCTTATATATTGATCATATTTAGCGATCTATATTATTTATGACATGTGTCAACAATGATTTATGAAAACCCTTTTGTTATTTATTTATTCAATATATTTCCATTTTTCGTCTCTCGTATTAATCTAACTCTTAGGTTGTAAGGCTTATTGTATCTATATGACTATCATTTCCAAACAAATCTTCCAAATATTTTAATGAAACATTCTTTATCAATATCCAACTCTTATTAAGTTCATTTGGACCAATAAAACCTCAACATATCTTTGGAATTCTCGCAATTAAAAAAAGTCTTCAGATAATGAAAGTGAAATGATGCGAAGACCAATAATCATGGTAACAGTTTTTTCGTATGATGACCTTACACCTTCGATCAAATTCGTATTTGTTCTTGTCTAAGGTATTTCAAAGCAAAATATTCCCTGGAATATCATTTTTAAATATCAAAGCACATAAGCGACAAGGAGGACGATCAAACAGCCATGTGGTCGGGTGGCGCAGTGGTAACGCATTCGCCTTCACCTAACTGACCGGGGTTCGATTCCCGGAATGGACGTGAAAAGGGAAGGGGTCACCTGCCCGACCACGTGGGTTTTCTCCGGTTTTCTCCCACAATAAGACCCCTCGCACGCTTACATCCGAGACAACAAGAGTGACTAGTATAAGTTGGCATAACTTGTTTCGCAATTGTTGTAAACCAAATAAAGTTTATATCTAAAACAACCTTCTACTTATAACATATTATGCACAGTTATCATTTACAATGAGTTTTTGAAGTTATCTGATAAACTCACGAAGACGTATTTATATAATGCTATCATAGCATGCTTATCAGTAATCAGCTTTCTTATTCAAATAAATAGATATATACAAGCGTATTTATGAAAACGCACAGAACCTTAAAATATCACTCAGTAACTTATTCATACTATAGTAACGAAGCGGAAATACGGGTATTATCTGATGAGATATGTGCATACACAGACACACATTTGACAAGGTTAATACTTACTTCCCACCGGCGACAGATTTGAATTGTTGATAAACATCCTCAATAGATGGTCGCATATCAGGGTTCTCTGACCAGCATTGCTTCATAATCTGAATATATTGGGGTTGTGCGGCCTGCGGCGATACAGACGGTCGGAGAAGTGGAGGAGGTTTTCTTATCTTCTCAATAATCTCTGTAGGAAGACGAATAGTCGTTAGGTCAGACGGATTAAGTACAAAATCTATGGCGGACGTCAGATCGCCATCGCTGATTGTCAGTGTCCAATTTATACGTTCAAATTAGTCATCGTGGCCTTGTTAAGGTCCGATTTGGTGCTACACAAAGTAATTTATCACTGATTATGACAAAAAAGATAAAACAGACCATGTTCGTAATATCTATCATTCAAATTCCCAATAATTGATCGATTAGTATTAGAATTTACAACAAACGCAGCGATTTTTTCCCGTTCATATTTGAGATGGAAGAATGGAAAAACAGACACCAGACCCACTTGCGTATCAGTGAATATTACATATTAAAAAGAGAAATTAAAAGGAAGTCAGATCTTAATTGTTTGATGCAAAGTAACTTTGAATATGCCAAGCCTATGAGGTAGATATAATGACACGTTAAACCTGTCATAGAAATAGCCATTCTTATGTATGATGTTAAAACGTATTACAATTTAAGGTCACATTAACACGTGATAGAATTATAAATGTTCTAATCAAATAACGAGTAACCTTTGTGATGCTGATGATATTACAAAAAAAAAAAAAAAAAATGAAAAAAAAAGAAAAGAAAAAAAAAAATATGCAAACACAATTATAATCCAAACTTACAACTATGGTAATATATGACAAAAAGAAAGATTTACTCGGAGACTCCTAAAAATGTTCAAGAAGAATAAAACCAAGTTTTCCGAAAGAGTTAGCAACCTTTGGTTCATCGACTACGCCCGCCTTGTAAATCTTGGTCAATTGAAGTAAGTAATGTCAAGTTCTCAAATGAGAGCAAGACATAGAACAACTGAACAAACAAGTAAACTACCATCTACCTGATCGAACAAAGACATTTTTTCTCAGTAAGATCACTATGACGATAGTAAAACGTCCCCTTTATCTTGTCATCTTCCATCTTTTGAAACCATGTACTACGGGTTTGTCCTCAGTTCGCTTCTCGCACGAAAATCTTGATAATTGAAATGGACCCTTGAATATTGAAACTATTGCGACATGTAAATATCATAGGTCGGTGAAATGTGTAAGACCACTTATGCAGCAAACATTGCTTACCTATCATGAGATAAGAATAACAATAATGAATCCAACCATTTTTCTGCAATCAAAATCAAATTCATTTGTTTTTATATTACCGGTTGTTATTTGTTTCCCCTTTCTTTGTGTGTCAATCAATTGTTATCAATAAAATATAACATACGTTTCAGTTCCATGATAAATACTGAGTGTGTTTCATTTCCTATAAGAGACTGACATCTGTACTAACGGTGGTCGTGTCGCGCCGTGGTAACGCACTCGCCTTCCACCCGTCCGGGGTTCGATTCCCGGACCGGACGTGAAAAGATATAGGGTCACCTTCACGAACACGTGGGTTTTTCTCCGGTATTCAGGTTTCCTCCCACAGTAAGACCCTCGCGTGCGCTCCCATCCGGGCCAACAAGAATTTTAAATTTAAATTGGAAAAAAAAAACTTGCCCCGAAATTTTGAAAAATAAAGTGTATTTACGAAGGGTGTTTTTAACGTCACAATGCCCTGATTAGGGCTTGCAGACTTTTGATATCAGACATGTCAATAACATTTCATATTTCTGGTGTAGGACATTACTCCAGTAGACCGGGAACAGTTTGGTTTGTATACAACTTAGTACTAGAGGTAGATATGTTTTTGAGACGATGGGCTTTTCGATAGGATTTAGCTCTCATTTTCTTTCAATTCTTGACAATATGGGAGATTAATATCATGGTATGAATCATATTTCAGCAAATAGTGTACTTATATATAATATGTCATTTTACATTTCACTGAATTGCTATAGTATCACGAGATAAATGTCCGCTGTCGCGACTTTCATTATTACAAATAAAGCATTTTAAGTACAATGCGGCTGGCATTGGTAATAAATGTTCAATCTGTTTCTTTTATTGTTGCTTTACATCCTATAATTTGAAATAATTTTATCTGTAATACAATGACGACGACACTACAATGTCATATTGTTTAAGTCTGGCCCTATGCACATTTTCTATGAACTAACTTGAAAGACAACAGGCATGTGATTAACACATTTTCAGATTGATGGGTACTATGTAGATAAAGTTAATTACTTCCAAACGGATGACAAACGATACCATTATTAGAATTTGAAATTCAAGTTAATGTAAAGCAGTTGCCATTTGTTATTTTCGTTAGTTGCGTAATACATAATGTTCGGTTTGTTCAAATGCCAGTCATGTGTAAAGTTGATTGTCTGGGAAAACATACTGAAATTGCTAAAAGTACATGTAGCAATATGAGTTTAATATAATTGAATACAGACGGTCTATCAGAGGAGAATATCTAGTCTGGAATGGCGAGGTCACACCTTTAAGTATGGAAAACGATTCAACGGAACACAATGAAACTCGAGGATGATCAATCCATCACCTTTATACAGAATTTCAGGGTGTCGGCAGACATATCAAACATTACAGTCTGTCCAATAACATACAACATGCGGCATTTTGACGATTACAAATCACTTATATAGCCAATTTAACTTCACAAATATATCTCATCGTGTCACATTTATTCATCAAATTCATACATATGACACTGGTACATTTATTCAAACACAACAAAAGCCAACTTGGGTGTTCAGCTTGACTGATGAATGATGCAGATTTATCCGTTATTGGTCTTCGTTCTCTGTTCAAGTATCAGTAAAAACCAGCACATTCGATCTCCATATCAACTATTCAGAACGTGTTCTGATTTTACTGTACTATTATCGGAAATATTTACACGAGCAGTAAAGTGTAAGAATATAGGGAAAATAATGTGTAACAGGAAACTTATAATTTTATTAATACATCAACTTTCCAAGACCACGTTGCTAAATGATAACTTAATTGTCTCAGAACGTTAGCACGTGATAAAGCACATGTTCATATCACGTTTTCTATATATCAAAAGTGTCAATGACCATGAGTTGGTATTTGATAATAACACAGAGGATATAATAGTATTGCAATAATTTCACGTCTTCTCATGTCATTCCTGTGAACTAATTACTAATTAAATATATTTTCGTTCGATGAACCTCTCACCCGAACATTATCGTTGATTACTTTTCCAAGATTGTACAAAAGACACACAAGTGAATAACACCATTAGTTAGCGTTTTATACGGTAGGACTGAACAGTGAATTAAATCGTATCATAATGCTGTTTCATCCTTCTATAACTCGCCAGAGATTCCTATAATTGGCAGTCTAGGAGGCGACTGAGGAAAATCTAAAGTGATCGAAAGAAAAGTTTGAATCTAGTCAGGGAGGTGCAGCAGTCTCGAAATTAAATAAATTTCGTAATTTAAGAGTAAATCAGATAAGAAGATGTTTTGAAAATAAAAAAAAAAAAAAAAAAAATCAAATCAAATTTGCTGCAATGATGACAGTGTATTTGACTCTATGCTGGGTCTGATATAATTCTCATGCCAGGCGGTAATAGTAAAAAAGTAAGCATTGTATATTAACCTCTCATTTCCAATATCACTGACATCTCAGGGTTGATAACAATTGATGTAATCGGTTACAAACTACTAGAGGACAACATGTGGTTGTATTTGTCTGCAATCATTAGTGAGAGCTATATCAAAATTATGACAATACACATGGACTTATCAATAACTTATCTGTATTTCTAATGACATTAGCGATATAAACATTATCACAAACCATATAGTTATACAATAAAACCGTCTAGTTCTTAAAATCGATCATGAAACTTCAAACGTCACTGCCTTTGGAAGACCAGTTATCTTGATATAGATGTAAATACATGACGCTGGATCACTGGCGTGAGATTATCGATTTAAACGATAGGTTTGAAGGGTTACACATCATGTCAGATAATCTTCCTGTACCGTTTACAACCTATCGATATATGTCTGGCTAGTTTCGGTTCAGACATGCCAATTACAATTTGAGTTTTTCTAAAATACACGAGAAAAACAACAACGAATTACATCCATCTCAAGGTCAAACGAAATGAGGTTTAGACTTAGGGCTCAGTATAGAGGAAAACGTACCTTTTTATGGTAAAATTGATTCTTTTTATGGTCATAGATCACGGATATAGAATCCCACAAGGCATGTTAACACTGTTCTGTTTTGACACCAATATACTTTAGCATGATTATACATTAACTATCTGAATAGAACAATATCTCTATCTTGATTTATAACATGAAGCACTGATGAGCAGGCATTAAGCTGCTGGAATAATTAGCCGGATGTATGTCCATGTAATTAATAGAACAGGAATTTTCTGCTGTGACACGTATGAGCAAGATAGAAAACGACTAAAAAAAGTTATGACACACTATATTTACAATCTTATCTAAATTTGTATTAAATCCGAGGTTTGTCATAACCTGCTTCGATTCAATAAAATATCGACACTGTTCAGAATATACTCGTGTACTTGACGTACTTCTAGACCCCTCCTTCTATATTTGGAAATTAATTTCGATCACGTTGGGTTTCCTCAGTTACCTTCTGCGTTTAACATTTAGGCTTCTGATAAGTCAAAAAAGTACGGAAGAGCCTTATAATGCAGGTGAATTAATTGTTTGACTAGAGTGTTTCTTATCTACATTTGTGTAAATGGTGTTATTAACTTGTGTGTCTCTTGTGCTGTCTTTGGAAACAGTGATGTAGTAAGAGGACTTTGTATCCGCATTTATGATGTTTACAGTGATTTACCGATACTTACCGATTACAAAATACTGCCTTCATAAGGCAAACAAACTAAATGTCATAACTTGAACGAAACATATTGTATATTTATCGATCAATGGTTTGTAGTATTTTTAAAGAAATTATTGAATAATTGGAAACACTTTGCCATCCTCTCAAGTGTCTGTTAGTATTCAATTTTTTCACTTAAAGTAACATTTCATCTAAAAACAGTATAATAAAAAAATGATAAATTTAATATCATTTTATTTTACTGGAATTGGAAATGAAGACAGCTTTTCAATACGTTATAATTCAATACCGACATAGACAAAGTTTGGCAGCATACGTGTATGTAAAACACTAACCTTCTTCCGTTAAATCAACCATACCAAATGGTCGTTTTCGGAGAATGACTTCCTGCATTACAATGGCCATTCCATACATATCGCCCTTTTCCGATCCCTTAGAGCAAGGATACGGATCCCTGACATGTTCAGGGGCTGTCCACAGAAGATCTAAAATTGAAAATAGACATTTTCATAACATTCTTAATTTCATTTTTATCGGTTGTCAGTGAGTAATGCTTCATATTTAGAAAAAAGAATTAATCACATTGAATGCTAAACTGACTTTAAATCCTCCATACGAAAGGCGGTTTTGCTGAGAAATAAGAAGTTTTGACACCGATTATGACGCTGTAGTCCGTTATTGTTCTTACTGTCCTAACCAACGACTGATTTAAAGCTGAATATGATGCAGAGTGTTGTAAAACGAAGTTTTAATGAATTTAGTTTTTCTTCTAAGAACGACGTTGTTAATTTTTCTCACTGACGAAATGCTTATCACCCGGATAACAAGCGATGTAATCAGTTTACGACTTATGATCAGTGTATGCACCATTTCATTATTTCGAACTAATTGCATTATGAAGAATTTAAACAATGTGAGCATTAGGAATCTGGAATTCTAAAAGCGTTTTCAGCCTTAAATTTGTGGGAATACTAACACTTTAAGCGATAATGATGCAAATTTCAAAACGTTAAAAAACTTTAAAAGACTTCAAATTGATTTGAAATATTCTTCTGTCATGTGCTAGGTTCAAAGCATCGTATACTTGTAATAATTGGTGTCTACCTCACCGAACAAAACACACGAGGTCAGTCGCATGCTATCTAGAGTAATAACGGTTAATTTCTTGGTTACAGACACCACAAAGTAACCCTATTCGGGTAAGGGAGCTTCTAACCATACACCTCGGATTTACGAATGAGGTTACGTAGGCAACAGCTCTGTTGAATGATCGATCGCTGGCATTTTAACAGATGTGTAAAATGTGACGAACAGGATATACTGGTTCAAAATTCTTTTTATGACACAAATATTTCATAAACCGATACTGTAAAATACACATGTACTTTCGTATATTTCGGAGTGCTTCTTTTTCATTCGAAGATAAATCAGTTCAGATTAATTGTAGTTTAAGCTGCCTTGTAAACAGGAAACATCACTTACCACCTGCCTCTGATGCTATATTGAGCTTGGCTCTTTCCCGGAAGCCTATCATTCCGAAGTCTGTAAGCTTCAGTACCCAACGACTGTCAACAACACAGTTCCTAGATTTCAGGCTTCCGTGGAAATGGATTGGCGACGTATGAATGTAACGCAGTCCCTACAAGAAAGACAATGACATAAGATGGCAATGGCGGGTTAAATTCTTACAGAAAAAAATATATAAAATAAGAATGTACAATCCACACTGTATGTAGATAAATGCTTTAATCTTCTTTAATAAATGAAATTATACATAAAAATTGACTTTTATCCAGATCTGCGCGCAAATTACAGGTAACAATCGTAAAGTCATAATCGAAATGATAAACTGTAAAGTTACTTATATTCTGGTAACATTATATTTTGCATTCAGCATTTTTCTAAACTATTTTCCTAACCTTTCTTAAATGGATTGTCCAGGATGTGACGATGAATACGATTATGCTATTTAATACCCCTGAAGATGCAATCAAACAAATTCGAAAGCGTTCCGCTAACTAGATATATAACATTACTGAGAATAGAACCATGGTAATCACTTATTTTTTAAATTTAATGATAGCTCTTCCTTTGCATCTCAAATCAACCAACATCATAACTTAAGTACGTATTACATACATGTACTTCACAAGGAAGCTTAAAATGGCGTGACATCTTAAAACATGCTGATGATGTCAATATCTAGTCCTATCGACCTTATACCGGTGATATAGACCAATGATATACATAGATAAAGAAATCACCAGTATGTATCAAACAGACTTGAAGTAAGAAACGTGACAGGACCAAATGAAGTGGCAGTAATTACAGCAAATGATATATGTTTGATCTACGATTCTGCAAACGTCAGATCAATAACGATTTCAATTGAATACGAACGTAACGCTGGATGCATCCAATATCCATTTTGAAATGGATTGAAAGAACAGAAAGTGATGCAATGTAGGTTTGAGTGTTGAGGGAAATTTCACGATCGCAAAAGTAAAGGTCAATTGTACTTGTATGTTGCTTACTGTATAAAACGCCTTTTTCTTGATGGTAATTATGCAATATCATATGGTATGCTGAATGCTAACTCTGTACCTCTTGCCGAAGGATATATAGATCTTAGGTGTAATGAATGAGCATATTTACCTCAACTAAATCAGTCAAGTTCAGGAGGCAAATCATCTAACACAATCTTCAAAATCTTTAGAAATATTCTATCTAGACCGATCCGAGCCGGTAACTTCAGAATTGTAAGAAAACTTACCCTTACTAAATCCGTCAATAAAGATGCTTTGAAATCCCAGTCGAGTTTGATATTCTCGTTGTTCAGGACGTCCTGGAATACACAAAAAATAATACAGACCGATATATTCATTTGGCACTTAGATGGGTCTAGTATTTGGTACTCAAAGAACAAAAGAATATAGAAAAGGCAATCAGAACCATGAAAACATTTCCATCCAACATCTGTAACACAAATGAATAATGGAAAAGCATCACTTATAAAAAAAATAAAAAAGAGCAAAAAACACACACAAACCAGATAAAAATAATTCGATAAATTTCCATGATGGCAGTGTTACTGAGTTACACCTGTCAGTAAACGAAATTACCAGAAAACATAAACGATGGATGGTTCGAAAAAGAAAATGGTAGCAAAACACGAAATAATTACTAAAGATTATGGTTCACATTAATCACACTGATGGACGTCTTTTGTACACTTAACGTCTCAGGATTGGCTCTTAAGGGGTGGAGAAAATTGATGATTCCACTTCCGGATAAACTTGTTTCAGTATTATCTTAACCTTACCTGCAGACTGCCCCTATTGCAATGCTCAGAAACAAGTGCAGGTCGGATTGGGTCATTTAAAAATCCATATAGTGGGTTCACATTTTCATGGCGGATGTCTCGGAGCTGGAAGGAAAAAAGAAATTGATAAATTGCGTCATTAATATTTAATGTCAAACGCGGCAAGCTCGATTGGAGCAAATTGATTGATGAAGATAAATGTTTAAAATGTAACATGTCCTACACAGCATCTGTTATAAGAGGAAATAAAAATTAGTAAACGAAACCCGGTGCACATCTATCAAATAACATAGATTTTATTATTTACAACATTCTCTCCTATCATGTTTCCCAATTTATCTCATTTTTTGTTGACAGATTTTTTTTAACATTCTTCTGTGGTTCACAGAAAAAGCTACGGCTGTGATAAGTATATACAAGTAAAATATTTCACGATATTTATAGTTTATAGTTAACTACCATTGTAATCAGAAACTGCGTTGACGGTTACCTTATCATATATATTAATGTAGTGTGTTACAAACTGCTGCGGTTAGCGATCATTTGAAAAAGTGGAGAATGGTCACATGACAACAAAATGATACGAACAGTTTCTCATAGGTAGCTGAACTTTTTTTTTTATAGAACTCAGCATCTTGCCACACAGTCTATTTTGACATCATGACGATAAAATATTTATTTTGAGTTGACGATATTTATCAGTTAATTTCATATTTAGTAACATATTGGCTGAAAGCCTAAAAATATAGTTGGCTAGTTTGAAATCAACTGGAGTGATTATAGTTTCGAGGTGTCATTTTTACGGTTTGGCTTATGGCTTTATTCAAATGTATTGAGAGAGAAGAGCTGCCGATGTGCAATGGTGTTGCCAAACTCCTTCGGTGAACTTTGAGTGGAATGCTAGATGAAAAAGTTTAACATCTCAAAATGCATGTCGGCCAAGAGTAAAATTAAGGTTCGAAGATAAAAAAAGACGAAACCTGCCTTTTTCCCTATCATTTTATTTCGTGATTAATCAGACTTCAAAGTAAATTATAAGATACCAGTTGTATATATAGAAAAAAAGCTAAAACACTGGAAAACACATGATGTACAACATAAGCGCTTTAATTTCTTCTTCAGATGTTTTACATATTTACATAGATAGGGATTGTGCCGTATTTATGTAAATATGTAAAACATCTGAAGAAGAAATGAAAGCACTTATGTTTTACATCATATGTTTTCCAGTGTTTTAACCTTTTTTCTATATTTACTGGGCACGTTCACTACATGTTCAATATTACTCAAATTCTCTAACTTGGGCATTTGACAATGATTTACGTTTTGTCATTAAGTTTGGACTATGGAATATTAAATAATGATATCCGTTTTGCTTTCTTCTGTAACATTTTATACTGAATAATTCCATGAGAAATTACAAACGGACATAGAGCTGTATATTTTTTGTTATTCCTACCGATCTCTGGTTTAATTAATTTGAGAAATAATGTTGTTATTTTTTTAGGTCAATGAAATCTTGTTTAAACATCATCAACTAGTGTATGGTGTCAAAATGGCCTGACACTAAAATCCTTAACATATTTTCAAGATGCAACAAAATATATATTCATTTCATTTAATCAAGACGACTAACTTTCGACACCTTAACGTGGGGTTTTACATAAATATAGGTAATTTAGGTAAGGAATCGAGGATATCACTTATATTTAGTTATATACAACCCACGTATTTCATATAAATTTTTGTGGTTATTCGAATAAGGTACCTTTTCAGGAATCTCCGTCTAATTCTTTCGATTTTTGCCCTGGGTTTATTGAAAGTTTTGATCATTATGTTCATATGTTGGTGTTTTCATGATGTTTACAGACAAATGTTTTGAGTGAAGAGACATATCCTGCAAAAGTGTGAGAGTGAGCGAAAGTATTACTGGTCATGCTATACTAAGGATTCTGTCTACTTACAATGTATACAGAAAATAAAATAAATTATACCGTTCAAAATAACTATTAACTAGTAGGATTCCAGCTAAACAGGCTTTCCTGTGATCTTGGCCGTTTTAAAAAACTCTCTGCAATCACATTACATCCCTGCGGGTTTCACAATATAGCTGCATCAACAAGATATGACACCAATATTTCTATCCCTTTTTATTATTTCTGAACTGCATTTACTTAAGTATTGATTATCTGTGTGATGATGGTACAGTAACCCGCGATAGCGATCGGTTCCGCGACGAGATTTGTGTATACGTATACTTTTTGCATCTGATATCTAATACATGGATCTTAACTATAGAACCTCCAGGGCATTGCTTGATATTAAACTATATTTCAGTTCTCTATGATAGTTTACAGGTTAACAATTCTACCCCTTAATGTTTTTTAAAGCAGAATGCCATAATGACATGACGGGGAATATTTAGATCTCTGATATAAATTTTATAGTATTCTCTTCCGACACTAGTGATCACGAACAAAGAGGAAATATCTTGTTAAGTTTTTAAAAGAGTTATTTGGGGAAAATATTTGTATGACGAATAAGGGACAGTGTGAATGCAAAATATAAATGCATTATGATATTTTTTCTAAATGAAAGATCTCATGCTATCACACCGATTAAACAAAGATATTTCAAGATGACAAAGATTGTACGAAAGACGCAAAAGTAAATAACACCTTTTAATAATTTAGAGTTAGATACAGTAGGGCCAAATAATAAATCAAGATTTATGATAAAGTTGGGTTGCCTTTCTAGGACTCGTCATTGATGCTAAGAGACTCAATTTTGAAACCTACCAAGAAATCGAAAGTAAAACATTCTAGACCGGGACGTACAGCAGCCTTATAATTAGATATATTTTGTAATCTTCATATGTCAGACAATTTTATAACAGCGTTAAGTACATATGTATATTCTAAACCATGCTTCTATTCAAATGAATGAAAACGTGACGTGCAGGATACAGCAAATCGCGGGGACTTAAAGTCCACCAGACGTGTCTACCACCTGTGATATTAATGATACACAAATGAATAGCACAATTTTAATAATTTAGAGTTAGTTACAACATAGCTTATCAGAAATTTTACTGCATTATACAGATGTGTTGTCCTTCCAACGTTAACACGTTTGCTTCATTCTAAGACTTCGTTATATATTCATTGCATTGTCTATGTCACCAAAATGTCTTTATCATCATGATGTACCGTTCAGTGACGTCATTGTTATCAATAAGACCTATTTAAATTGGACGACATAGCGTTATCTAGATAGTAAACGTTGTTATCGTCCTCTTTCTCGAGATCACGTTTTTTCTCGAATTGATAAAGACTTTTAGGTGAAGATACAAATACCAAACATATATATTCATGTTTTTTAGCGATTTAAACAAATTCTTTTCATTGATTGATGGAAAACCTTCAAATCCAATTCAAGATGCTTTATTTGAGATAAAACATCAAGATGATACCTCCCTACTTTTTCTTTTTCATAGTCGAATGATTTGGTACTTATTTATTCACAGTATTCTAAAATGAAAAAGGTCACTTACTGTTCTTGTGTACGCAAGAATTTTCCCCTTCATTTCCAATCCTTTATACTTCAATTCTTTTATATACACTATGTCTCCCTGTAACAAAAGAACACGTTTGTATTATACAAAAACAACAACATTTTACCAATATTTCAGCATGATACAGAATTCGTCTCCATAATATCACTATGACGACCGTAAGCAACATAATTTATATAATTATAACATAAATGTTTGGAATATAGGTCACATACATCTAGTCGCTGGAACAAGTTGATGTCCCAAAATAAGTTATGCAAAGAAGAAATATGAGCTATAGATATATTTTCTGGTGGAAAATCTATATTTCTGTTCTGAACTATTTTCCTGTGTATGTTCTAAGACTAAAAGTTGATGAAACAAAGAAAGTATCAAATCAGCTGGACATAATCTTTTAAGTTATTCACGTTGAGTAATGATAAGATTACACCATCCTTTTTAGAGCATACGTTCTTTCCCTACAAATTAATAAATAGAGTTTGCTACCAATAGTAAATAAAATTATATGTATATATATTGAAGTCACAGTCTTATTCAGTGATGTCAGTGGCCAAAACAGTGAAAACCGACATGAAAAGTTAAAGAAATCATCGTCAGCAAACTAAATGATTAAGATACAATAGCACGATTAGTAACCCTGTTATTCAACCAATTCGGTAAATGTAAATTGATTGTGGATTATTTTAGAGGAACATAAAGCACACTGATAAATTCTTATCCAGAAATGGCATTGTTTCACAGGAAATCGTAGAGGCTTAAATAAGTTTACATGTAGAGTTTACTATCTACCCAAACTCCGCCTTAAAAATATTTTAACGGTAACATTTAAGAAGAATCATAGATGCTTAGAAAACCTCTGTTTCGAGTTTTCTTGTCCCCCCTCCCCCTCCCCAGTCTTGGCGGGTATCTTCTTTTGACATGCGTACTCACCTGACCGCGGCTATTGCTGGACGTTAAAACCCGCAGAATAAATGTTACATATCGACTGGGTATTACATAATCTACCATTTCGTGTGCGCACAAAATGTAATCATGTGGCTTCTCATGTAAGGAAATCATTGAAACTTGTCTAAACGCTGTCAGTGCCTGAGTACGGTTAGGTGTCTCTTTATTTTACTGTGATTTGTTCGAGCACTGTTGCAGTGAAAAATGGTTATTTCTTAACCATTTAAAAAAACAATGCATAAACAAGATCGCTTTCGACTTTTCATATCTGCTGTTAAATGAATACGCGACTCGCTTCTTTTCTTCTCTCAATATAACATGGATGTTTAAAATTATTGTACCTTAATCAATCATTTACTATCGATAATATATAGATTAGCTCTGAATTATTAAAAGGAGCTATTCCGTTGTGTGTCTTGGGTACAATCTTTAAGTTCTCCTGAAAAATATAATGTCCTCTCTTTACGTGGGATTACCGAAACACCTTGAGAATCATTTCCCCTGTAGGATTTAAATGCATGGCACCTAATATATCCTTGGATCTATTGATTAAATGTAGGATCATATTGTTATCTTCAATTGGTTGCTTTGGTGGAGAGACGTTTCCTATTTGAGTTGTAGCATTGAACAAAATTGAGTATAGGGTTGCCGTAAAGTTTCTCCTCCTGGAGAAGCAATCTGCGCGACCGCTGTTTATTAGGAGACTTGCCTTTCTTCTGCAATTATCAAACACTTGTTGTAGGAATTCAAGCATGGCAGAGAGAGTTTAGAAGATGATCCCAGGTCTGGCCTGATATCAACCAATGTTAGCAAGGAAAACGTTGGCAATCTGCACAAACTACTGTAGAAAAGTTTCCATATTACTCTTTAACTTCGTACAATCAGCAAACCTTTCAGAAAAGTCCTTATGGCACATATTTCATGACAAACTACAAAGGTATATGCAAAAGCAATCCCTAAAGATAACTTCAGATGACATTAAATATCATCACCCACCATAAGTGGAGCCTTGCTAACTCGGTATAAGGTAAAACCATATCATTTTCTTTCTAGTTAACGGGACTCAATGAAATGTTATTGAAACACGTCACATTCCTAACGCCAAACAAGCTCACAGCCACAAGATCCACAAAACAGTTAGTAGCGACCATTTCTGGGAGTGATTCACATCGACTTCCTGTCCCATGGAGCAACAATTTATAGGAGTATTACGCTGATTTACTGAAGCAGGTACGCCAATTAATCAAGAAGAGATTCTGCCTAACCAAGACAACGCGACAGTGTACACCAGCTGAGCTGCGATGGAACACCTTTCCCAACCACCCTATTCAACAGATGCAGCCCTTCCATCTCCTTCCTAGATTAAAAACATCTTTAGACCAAGATGTTGTGATCTACTAATGGTGTATCAATGATTGACACACTTTGAGAAACAAATGTGTGCAGTTTGCATGCGACTTTGTTGAAACAGAAAGCAGTGTAAATTCAAATATTTTCTTCTTGTTGTCAGAGACTCGGAACGTTTTTATATCGCCTGGTATGTTTGCTTCTCCTACAAAATGACTTTATTATTACTTTTGATTTGTATGTACCTTGTATTACAGATTTAAATCACTATACTTAAATGCCTATCATATATTAACTTGCATAAAAAAAAATTCTTTCAAAGTCAATAAATTGAATTTTCTATTTCAACATTAACGATCGACGAACATCGCCCCATTTCATTAAATACTTATATTCCAATCATGTATTAACTTGCAACAACAAAAAAAAATTAATAAGCTGAATTTTCTATTTCAACATTAACGATCGACGAACATCGCCCCATTTCATTAAAACAGTTACATAGATTGATTTTATCGTTATCGTTAGGATATAAAAGTCTATTACAATGAAATTCGTTATTTGTTTCGGTTTTTTATACTTTTTCTTTCTCCGATAAATTTGTAAGTACTCGGCCCTAAAACACCCATGTAATGATAGTGTCAATGTCAGTATTAGCTCGTCCTTCAATCTCATTGCCGCGACTAAATTAGTCCCAGTTAAACCTCTATTGTACACTGTCACAATGTAGGTCTCACTGCACCTCTGAACATATCTAACTGGCTGAAATGTTTTTATAGAACAGCATGTTGCTGTAAGAACAGGCAACAGCACAAACTACATTAGGAAGTGGAAAAGGAATTCATTTTAAGATGATCTAGCAAAACTGGAAACTGTTTCAAGGACTTCATAAATATTTCATTCGCTGAATATCGGACAAACATGCCTGCGTTATATGAAACATGATATAAGGAATATTGTGTCTTAAATTGCAAACAAGAGCAATTTCAATTCAATTGGTTTATCTTGAACAAACATGTAATTCCAAATTAAATTGGTTTTAGTGAATATAGTCAAAGCCGACGACAGAACAATATATTATCGCTATATCATGTATGCAAGGACAACGTCTCTCTATATCTAAGCAAATGTTACTTAAACGGAACTGTAAAAATATGCATTTCCCTTCCATCTCGGTAACAGAAAATCTCTGATCAGATGTAAAATATTTTCGGGTTATCTGCCCGACCCAGTTGATTTATACCAGGTACACATGTTGCCTGTTATAGTAGGATCCCTTGTGCTAGCCAAGGTTACGAAGTTGATTACAATCTTTTAGTTTCACAATTGCAGTATAAATGATGGTTGGTAGATGGTTATCAGAATTTATACATTGGATAACACTTCAATAACCACATTACGGAGTAAATCAAGAAGTTAAAAATATAGAAATACTTCATTTGAAAACATATCGGAATGCATCCGACACAGAACATAAAAAACCCGCTATGTCTAAATTGCAAAAAAAAAAAAACCCGTTTCGACAATAGAATACAGTGTTCTGGCAGGATAAGTATATTTCAGAGTTCTGTATTCCCTCTGGTGTTGCTTTACTCCTTACGTACTCCTATGTCTTAATAGCTTTTATTCATATAGATAGCTTTATTGTGATGCAATTATTTTTCCCTATTTACTTTTTTAAAAATACATTAAAAGAAGTTTGATTTGCAGTCACAGTGTAAATGTAGTCTGTAGTTAACATTTAAATGTTTTACTGTCTCTTTTCTCTTTTCCTTTTAATGGAACCCATTTGAAAAGTGAAAGTGATATTTTGTTCCAATTTTTTATCGTGTATATGTTTTACAGTAGACATATTGACGAAGATTACTTTCTGTTGCAGTCTGATAAATATAATTATAGGTCCAGGTTATTTGGTAAAACCATTTACTTGAAATGAAAAATTGTCAAAGTCTGGAACGCTTTCAAAACAGTGACCTTTGACCTTGTTATCGTCCATTTTCTGATTTCAAATATATAACTTCTCCTGATTTACGAGGGTTGATAATGTGCTTAGAACCATAACGTAATGTAATCTGAAACTGTCATGAACGAATCGTTATATCGACAGATATGTCTTTCGATAGGCGTGTTGTTTGCTTCATTTCACGATGACCAACTATCCCGATATTAGCACCGTAAATCACGTGCGGCTTTCCACCGATCGACATCGTAAAATAAACTTCCTATATAAGGCCGCATAATTATCTGCTACAAAACCTAACGTTAACGTAATTGACTAATTTGCATGAGATTTTCTAAATTTAATAATAATCCATCTTGATATTTGTTGATATTAATATTAGCCAAGTCAACAACGCGGTTGATTAGTCTCGGAAAATGGCACGCACACAAATTTTACAATTCTCCTGTAGGATAGAGAAAGTCATAGAATACTTTTTACAGTGTCATTAAAGTTGCATGAACCTGTAATTGAATTCAAAAACATTTATTGGGTCTATTTTGTTCCTTGTTTGGCAGAAGGTAATGATGTAAGGGCACTGGTCGGTTACACCATCATCTGTTGTCTGCATGTCGTTGACGATTCCATGCTTCTCAAAGAGCTTGATAATTAATTACCTATTTAATCTTTTATTGAAGGGTAAAACGGTCTTGAGTTGTAGCGGAACGAAAGCTTGGTGTTGTTGTATTGGTACAGGAGGATATAAAGTTCCGATACCTGTCGCTTCTTATACAGCACTTAAGACTTTTGAACCACAATACATAATCATGTCTACTGAGGTTCAAGAAGCAAATAATAGTGTCTCCTGTCCTACTTGAAACATTTAACAACTATACTGTGATATCTAATTTTGCATGTTTGTTTTTCATTACTTGTAGCTAAGTTCGCGTAGTATAATCTTAGCAACATTGAAGAAAATGTTAATTTAATTTGTGCAACGCCTTGGCACTATATTGAGTAAGACTTGAAACGTATTCCTCTGTAGGTTCCGGACTGGCTCTTAACCACTTATTTATACTGATTAAGGTGAATCCACCAGCAAAGTTTAGAAGATTTAACGTAATGAAAAGTTCCATTATCGATTCACAAACTCCTACAACAAACACATACTTAGGAGTGATATTGTGACATAACCACCTATTAAAACTATATTAAGATACACCTACAGAAATTTCAGAAAAGTAAATTAGCAGGACGTTCAGTTTACGGTATTACCTTGTATCGTGCAATTTCAGAAAACTCTGTCCACTCGTGGAGACTGATGAGAGATCGGTTGGACTTCTCGGATGCCTTTAATAGGTCTGGTGGATCAAGGAAACCGCCATTGGTGAGCTGTATAAGCAATGGAAAAGATATATTATGTACAGAAGATGTCAGATATCGCCATCCCAAACCGGTATAAATCTACCGTAAACTGGATACCATTATTCAATCTAGCACTTCAAAGTGTGGACCAGGTAAATTTCATCACCGGGGTAGGAAAGCAGGTGTCCGGGTCTTCGAATCGAGATAACGCGAGGATTGCCGAGATATGTTATTTCCTTAAAAATGATGCACGTATCATTACGACTTTACTGTATCTGGCTGACAACATACCAGTATCGGCCACAAACGTATATCTAATATTTTATACTGGAATAAGAATTGTCGCGAGTTCACAGGAATTTCAGTAATTAAGACTTCAAGAAATTGATGGCCTACAAGTGAAGCAAAATTTTCAAATCTTTTTCGAAATCAATATCAATCAGACTAGTTTGAAATTAAAAAAAAGAAAAGATTATACGATAGCAAAGACCTTTACATGTGAGGCGATCAGTCACGTTTCTAGGCTTGTCAGAGGAATGCTTACAACGTGTTTTAATCTAGCACTGGTCATCATAATGATCAAACCCATGACTTGCTACACTTTATTGTTTGGAATCACGTTGTCTCGATCGTGATGTCTCCAGTAGTAAGAATGTAATTATCCGTTTACTCCTTATACGCAGTAAAGGACATGACGCTAGCCGATGGAAGCCATTTGCTGATTGTTGTTTCGGAAAGACCAAAAAAAAATATCAATCTAACATTTTTCATTTTTTTTCATATCATACAAGTTGGTGTAAAACGTAAATGTTACTTATATGTTATAGCGTCCATACACGACATGTACAATCGAAAAGATAGATAACGAATCATAAAGACAGAAAAGGGAGACCATTTCATCGTGATCTTCAAAGATAAATACTGTTCACGAGGGAACCACTCGTTATGTTCGTATTTAAACATGACTCTATCTACGTAAATATTTAACTTTACCACACTTTATTTGTTCGCTGTATTGGAGAAAGGGCTAACTTAAGTGTTGTTATGACTGAGACATTCCCTCTCCAGTGATTGGCTCAGAGCTCTACCATTAGTTTCGACAAAGTGAAACCGGCAAATTCCTGCACGAGAGTTTAACATCGCAAATTGAAGACCTTGCCTAAAACAATGGCAGAATTTTCTTGATGTGACGTAAATTTGACGAATGAGGAGGTTATTTTTTGTCTTTTTTCAACTTGTATGTAAAATGCCGTATCCCATAACAAAACAGCTATTTACGTTTATCGCTGGATACGAGGATTTGTGAACGTTCGAAACATAATATCCCCCTCGGCCTGCTGCCGCGGGCAATATCACTTTTCTCGGGTCGATAAATATTCGTCTAAACCTACAAAAAGTCAAAGTCAATAATTGTATACACTGCGAGGAATGATCCCTTGTGTGCAGAACACAAGACCAAGAACGGTGAATGGTGATCACTTTCCGCTTCGAGATGTTGATGATTATCTCCGAAATCAGCTTATGTAAAAAAAAAACCTAGCAAAACAGAAATATCCGTGTTTAGAAACGCAGTTGTCTTATCCTGTCTTACATATGAAACAAAACCACTCGGTCAGTGATATAAAAAGGGTTCGTCCTTACTTATGACAACGGATGTAACAAAGACATATATAACACAAACAAGACATGTTGCTCTATTTTTATATTCGGAAGCCATATACCTTAGACGTTTTGATATCCTTTCGGTGTAGAAACGTCAGATCATCCGGTTCTAGAAGTACCTTATTAGGTCCTTTTGTCATCAATCTCTTGTTTTTCCGCCTCCTGCAATGACGTTTTAAAGGACAGGCTGACAATCAGGACATATAAACATCAGTTGTTTTATGTATCTATTTCAATATTGGGAAAT